CTTGACCATCAGGCTTATAGTTTATTGTGATGTCCAGAACCTGTCAATTGCATTCTTAACCCGTTAACGTCGTTACGGCGTTCTATGCTGTCCCCATTTAAAAGGGCTTTAAAGCCGTTGCGGCGGCATAGAACACCGTAACGGCTGCAGCCCCCAGAGCGCCCGAGATACTTACCTTCCCGGCGCTCTGCTTTGGGAGGACTGCCTGACAGCCCAGGCAGCCCTCCCATGGCAAAAGAAGCCCCCGGGGGCCATGTGATCGCTGTGTTGAGATATATTTATGCTGCTTTTATTGTTTTGTTTTTTCTTAAGGGTCTAGGGGCATGTAAACTAGACTTGAGCATGGTGATAAAATTTGTTTTGGCAGAACCATGTCGATCTGCCTGGCAGAAAACCTGGTACAGGAACCAAATCAAAGGAACCAATAGGGTGCAACAATGGGCAAATCAGTGTGTTGCAGAAAGTATACATTATATAATATGTGTATAGTTTACAGTGTACTTATAGGAGTGTTAAAAGGAGGAGCCAAAAATAAAAGCTAAGTATACACATTATATAGTTATTAAATATATGATATAAAAACATAGAGATTTAAATTTTTCTCCCTTTTCCCTCTATTGCTCACTTCACATGTGATCTGTGAATAAAATCAAAATTTTGTGACTGCTCCCTAGCAATCAATCATATTTTGCACATCAATCATCTTCAATCAAAACCAAATATGAACATACACAGGCACTACGTGTTTTACTTAGTTCATGATTTGGGTAGCTGGCTGTGGATCTGTCAGCAGGGGGATCTGCCAGCAGGGGGACTGTCTAAAATGACAGACAGTCCCCTTGCTGGTGGGAAAGTTAAAAAAAAAATTATTAAACATGTTTTAAAATAAAATAGAAATGTATTTATATATATAATATATGTATATATTTTATATTTATAATATATATGCATATTATATACATGTAACGTCATACAAAGTGTATTTTAATACTAATATAAGTACATATATTAGTATTAAAATACACTTAAAATGATGTTACATATATAATATATATTATATATATAATAGATATATACACATATATTATATATATATATATACATAGATATATATATATATATACACGTATAATTACAATAATAAATAAATAAAATAATAAAATTAATAAATAAAATATTGAAACAAAATTTAATATAAATTATATATTCATATGTAATTTCATTCTAACTGTATTTTGTTATTAATATATATATATATATTGGGAACAAAATACACTTAGAATGACATTCTATATCTATCTATCTATATATAAAATACAAATAACTGCAAATATATATAGATAAATACATATAATTACATAAAAGATCACATTAGTATACACGTAGAATTTAAATAACTATAAATGCATATATATTAAAATTCTACATGTATATTTAAGTAATCTTTTAACATTATTATGTGATTTGATTAATTAAAATTTGATTGACATGCCTGACAACACAGCGAGAAAGTGCAGAGAATTTAATTCACAAGCACTATATTTGACCCTGTAACTCTCCAAGACACCATAAAACCTGTACATAGGGGGTACTGTTGTACTGATGAGACATCGCTGATTACAAATATGTGCATTTTTTTGCACAGTATTATGACATTCACAGCTAAAATGTCAGACAGAAATACAAATTAAAAAATAAATCTTATTTTCTCACATTTTTTTTAAATTTTAGTCATAATAAATTATGTTCCATACAGTTGCAAGAAAAAGTATGTGAACCCTTTAGAATGATATGGATTTCTGCACAAATTGGTCATAAAATGTGATCTGATCATCATCTAAGTCACAACAATAGACAATCACAGTCTGCTTAAACTAATAACACACAAAGAATGAAATGTTGCCATGTTTTTATTGAACACACCATGTAAACATTCACAGTGCAGGTGGAAAAAGTATGTGAACCCTTGGATTTAATAACTGGTTGAACCTCCTTTGGCAGCAATAACTTCAACCAAACATTTCCTGTAGTTGCAGATCAGACGTGCACAACGGTCAGGAGTAATTCTTGACCATTCCTCTTTACAGAACTGTTTTAGTTCAGCAATATTCTTGGGATGTCTGGTGTGAATCACTTTCTTAAGGTCACGCCACAGCATCTCAATTGGGCTGAGGTCAGGACTCTGACTGGGCCACTTCAGAAGGCCTATTTTCTTCTGTTTATGTCATTCTGTTGTTGATTTACTTCTATGCTTTGGGTCATTGTCCTGTTGCAACACACATCTTCTGTTGAGCTTCAGCTGGTAGACAGATGGCCTTAAGTTCTCCTGCAAAATGTCTTGATAAACTTGGGAATTAATTTTTCCTTTGATGATAGCAATCCGTCCAGGCCCTGACACAGCAAAGCAGCCCCAAACCATGATGCCCCACCACCATACTTCACAGTTGGGATGAGGTTTTGATGTTGGTGTGCTGTGCCTTTTTTTCACCACACATAATGTTGTGTGTTTCTTCCAAACAACTCAGCTTTGGTTTCATCTGTCCACAGAATATTTTGTCAGTACTGCTGTGGAACATCCAGGTGCTCTTGTGCAAACTGTAAACGTGCAGCAATGTTTTGTTTGGACAGCAGTGGCTTCCTCTGTGATATCCTCCCATGAAATCCATTCTTGTTTAGTGTTTTACATATTGTAGATTCGCTAACAGGGATGTTAGCATTTGCCAGTAACTTTTGTAAGTCTTTAGCTGACACTCTAGGATTCTTCTTCACCTCATTGAGCAGTCTGCGCTGTGCTCTTGCAGTCATCTTTACAGGACGGCCACTCCTAGGGAGAGTAGCAGCAGTGCTGAACTTTCTCTATTTATAGACAATTTGTCTTACCGTGGACTGATGAACAGCAAGGCTTTTGGAGATACTTTTATAACCCTTTCCAGCTTTATGCAAGTCAACAATTCTTAATCGTAGGTCTTCTGAGAGCTCTTTTGTGCGAGGCATCATTCACATCAGGCAATGCTTCTTGTGAAAAGCAAACCCAGAACTGGTGTGTGTTTTTTATAGGGCAGGGCAGCTGTAACCAACACCTCCAATCTCATCTCATTGATTGGACTCCAGTTGGCTGACATCTCACTCCAATTAGCTCTTGGAAATGTCATTAGTCTAGGGGTTCACATACTTTTTCCACCTGCACTGTGAATGTTTACATGGTGTGTTCAATAAAAACATGGCAACATTTCATTCTTTGTGTGTTATTAGTTTAAGCAGACTGTGATTGTCTATTGTTGTGACTTAGATGATGATCAGATCACATTTTATGACCAATTTGTGCAGAAATCCATATCATTCCAAAGGGTTCACATACTTTTTCTTTCAACTGTATATGAATAGTTAATGATAAATTAAAGCCCTGTTTCTCCTGAACAAAATGATATATAATAAGTGTGGGTGCACTTCTTGTGACAGCAGTGAATTACGGTTGTACAGACATATAGCGCAAATTCCAGTTTTTGTTTACGTTTTGTTTTGTTTAGAACGTGCACTATTGACTCCGTCCTGAAGGGGTTAATATGTTCCATAATTTGTGCTTCCTCATTAGATATCCTGTTTATATAACATTCACTTGTCTGCTATCTGTCTACTCTTCTGTCTATTTTTTATCCATCTGTTTTATTTTCTTTAATTTATGTTCTCCCTTTATATTAACAAGTTTATTTGCTAAATTCAGACTTTTAAAGGTTTGGAATTCTATCTTCTATCTGATATTGTAACCGTGTGTGGTTCCCTTATTTACCACTATAATGTCTTAAAGCATAGAACTTAGTAGGGCTAACCATACAGATATCTTAACCATAATTTTATATAGTGTAAGAGATCCTCTATTTAACATATATAAATAATTGAGAATACAATATAAAATAAGGATTGTCTTGGAAGCAAGATTGTCTTTTGGATATTTATTATATAAAAATATAAAATCCATTATAGCAGAGTTTATAAGATTAAATTACATGCTTGCAAATATCATTAATAGGTTAACATACCCTTCTGAACATGTCATCATGTCAGCCTCTCTGTCATTTTAAGATGGAGCAGCGTCTGTCTCCAAGTCTCTCCTCTGTGTCTTAACATTTAAAAGTGCACCTATTTATACCTTAGGTGTCTCCATTTTAAGGTTACTGTAGTTCAAATATGAAAAAGTAACACTTCTTTTACTTTATTCAATTTAGGACCTCCCTTAATTTGGCAAACATACAAGGCCATAACTAAAGTGTGTATACGTCATGGAAATTTTCCTGACTTAGTTCAAGATGGCATCTTAAAGTCTGAATAGGTTATCTGTTGTTTATACTAAGTCGTAAGTGTACAGTCATGGGAGATTCCCGGATTTGGGGAAGTTCCATTAACTTGGGGTTACCACAGTATATTGTGTACTGCAAGAGTCGTAGCATAGCCTTGAAGCTTGTTTATGCATTATTGTTATTGTAATTTGTCTGGGACAAAATGGCGCAAACATATTATGCACTGAGGTTATTGCTTAAAGAAACAGTTATGAAAAACAATATGTTCCATTTCTAACACCTTGTCAGTTTGCAATATCTCTTAAAGACAAAGTACACAGTTTAAGAAATACAACATTTCATTCTAAAACTTGTAATATTTGCATTTGCCCATAACACCCTCTCCATTAAACTGTGGGCATTGTAGCGCATTTCTTAAATTAGTAAACCAAAGTTCTCCAACTGTCTTTAGGTTTTTTATGCTCCCAGCATCATGGATCATTGTTGTAACAGTAAAATATCCATAGTGTGATCTTTGCCTGTAAAGGTGGTTGATTAAAATGAGCAAAGCTTTTGTCTGGGAAAGAACTGAAAAGAACACCAGGTTCCAGAGTAAGATATTCTTGGATAGATCTGGATACGAATTGTAATCCAAAGTTAAAAATAGTAATTGTATTCGTAATCCAAAGTCTTTAAACCCCTGTAGATACATTCCTTAGATACATTGCTGGAGGTTGTGTTTGTAGAATACCCGGGTATTTGTTGTATAGTATAGGTTGTAGAGTCCAGCTTTCCAAATATTGGGATAGAAGTGGTTGCAGATATTGAATCAGCATCATCTGTTATCACCGTGGTGATGGCGTTGGTATTTGTCTTTGCTTGTTTGCTTTCTGTTTTTTCCATGAAACATTTTTACACCGTTTATGATGTGTATAGATTGGATACTCTCCGATATTCTTTTACGGAATAAATTAATTGACAGCATTTCCAAGACATTGTCTTAAGTGACATGGATCCCATTATAGTAAATGTTATGTTGATACAGCAATCGAAGTGGATTCTCAAGAACGCCTCCTTTTGCGGTAATGGAATCTTTGTAACATCTCAGTGATAGACATCTCAATGACATCAGGTGCTGTTGTGCTAAAAATGTTAACAGGTAAAATCTGTGGAAAAATCTTTACATTTGTTATACTTTGTATAATAATGATAGATGAAATAGTAACATAGTTAATCTCTCTAGTGTTTTGTTTTAAAGATAAACACCCTTGTATATGATTTAGAGATAAATGGATAATTTGAAGCAGCAAAGTATTTACCACCTTTATTCATAATGGTATGTACAATTACATCCTCTTTAAATGTTAAAAATACTCTTTTTTATTCAAAATCTCTCAGTATATTTAGAAATATGACGTTAATTATCTTTCTTTTGACCTGTTAGGGAGAAGATAACTTATTCCCTAGTTATTATTAGTAAATATTATAACTACAGTTATTAGTGGCTTAAAATACCAGAAACACCCAAAAATTGTCTTAGAAAACATTTTTTTTTTTTTTACCAAGATCTGACAGCCATTGTGGAAAGTTACGTTTGTGAGATTGGATGCTTAACAATGAGAATCTTAATTGTTAAGTATATTCTTCAGTGGCTGTTGGGTTAGCTTAAGATGATTTGGATTTTTTATTATTTCTAAAATTGAGTTAAGAAAGCACTCCGATACAATATTGAATGTATTTATATTTTAACTCTACCTTTGTATAGGTGGTTTATGTACCTTTAACCATTACAAACCAAATTACATTTTCTTTGTATTTGAAAAACTGATAAAATATTTGATTACGTGTATTTTAATATATATATATATATATATATATATACATAGAGTGGTATGGATGTTGAATTTATATCTTTGACATCTTTTCACAAGTTTGCAATAGGTGACCTAACTTATCAATTTCCAAAATCATCATGTATATCACCTGGACGGGTTAATCCATAATACTCTTTCTTTCCATTGACTGGCCTTTTTATCATTATAAATAAACTTTATGATAGTTGAAGTAAAGTTTCTGCCTGTCTTAACTGTTTTTAACTGTTGAAGTATTTCACTTATATTAATTATACCACTCTGCAAACTTAAACGAATATCGAGTAGTTTCTGTTTTAATAAAAACATTTTATATTTTCTTCTAAAGTTTAAACCTTATTCATTATTGCAGTTGTTATTGCAATCATATGATCTTTAACTATCATGATTCAATTATTCATCTTGGTAATTAGCTGTTAGGCTCTTATACGTATGTTTAATATATTTGTTTGTAGGCCAGACTGCAGCTGCATATGGCATTTTAGCAATAATCTTCAATTGCGTTTCAGATATTCACAAAGTCTATCCACCTTTGTAATTAACACATTATGTGTTTCTTATACCATTAATTATAGTATCTCTATTATATTACACATTGTCACTGACACATTTCTGATACAGGGAAAAAATAGCATGATTGCTTTAGTAATTATAATATATTATAATGTTCGGTCCATGCACCACATTCCTGGAAGTCCAGAATATAGCAAGAATCCTTTGTCGTTTGATTCTATGGAGCCGTTTAACATTTTGATTGGTATAGTTATACCAAAAGAGCAAGGAGTACGACGGTAGATCACATCTGCAACAGAACCATTACAGATTCCTTGTTGTATCAATGTCTCTGTGTTTATGTTTACAGGAGTTCCTTGCTTTGCAGGTATGTACATAATTTGTAGAGTTTAAGAAAGGCTGCAAATTGTGCTTTAGTACAAGTGTCCCGTGATGTCAGGTTTCTGACAGGTTTTGCTGGTCTTTTTATATTCCATTCTCTTGTCAGGGCATCTGCTCTTAGTAGGCCGGTATTGTTATTATTTATTAATTGCATCAAGGTTTCTTTCATTAATTGATGTGTTTCTACCAAATTCAAATTCATATGCCACCAAATGTCATTGTAAAGTTCATTGTTACAGAATATTGTTCCAGGATGGTTTTTCACTCCAGTAGGAAATCTATATTCCTCTTCTTCTGCTCCTTCCTATTAACCACTTTTTCTGAGTTGTAGGCAACAATTTGTGTTGTACTGTGAGGTGCTTTGATAGTCAATCTGGTTTTCTCAGTACCATGTTCCATCTTGAAAAACAGCTGGGTGTTGACAGTTATCAGCCTTTATTTCTTTTTCCGGTCATCTTCTGTCTGGATACATAATTGCAATGTCCAGAATTAGCATAGCACTTCTTTTCAGCATAAGAAGGCTGTTTGCGGTAGTCACTCAATGATAAACTATATGGCAAAGTATTTTCTTGATCACCTTCATAGGTGCATCCAAAGTCTTTCACAAGCATCTATCTCGTCTTTTTCTGTTTTCAGCATGCTTTGCCATCATCGTTGAGTCCATTATTAGGATTTGAAATAGTTCAATCACATCTTTCTCACGTATAATCGTTTTTTTGGAATGATCTCAATAGGTTCCTTGTGAAATACCAGTGTAGGTCACATAAGCAATCATTTCACTGTGAGCTGTGTCTCTCCTTTTGAGATAGTTCTTGGAGGTAGTCCTCACGATCACAGAACTTGTATAGTGTGCAGTCCAATTCAGTTCATGTGCTTCCTGCTTGTTAACATAATCCCAATGCAGTTAGGGTTGATGTTATGATAATGCTGCAGACTGTAAGAAGGCGACACCATAACCAATTTTCTAGCATCCTTTTGCTTCCATCTTTGCATTTCTTTCTTACTGTATAAGATAATTCATGTTCAGTCTGTTTTCTCCAGAGTCTTTCTTATAATGATGATGATAATTCATTTTTCATACATTCCATGTTAACTGTGAATGTATCACGTCTGTCTGTTCATCCTTCTCCTTCACATTTGCAGGTTCAGATGTCAGATCATGATTCAGTCTGTTACTATGATTCTGGTGGCTTTTCTGTCGTCCTCTGTTTGTTTTATCTTGCCATCTTTAACAGCATCCATTGTGTCAGTCAGTGGTTCTGTGAACGTCCTGGAAGTATTTAGCAGGTTGTAAAATATCAAAACTTACTGTTCTCTGTTGGGTCTGATTGTTCTCTGTAGTAAAAGTTCTTGGTATCACCCTCTCCAGGACAAACTGGCCAACAGAAGGAAATAGGTGGTGGTGCAAGGCGAGGTGGACTGGAAAAAAAAAATTCCCTAAATTTCTCTAATAGAACCAATGGTTCTAAGCTCTCCCTGGTGCAGAAATATATTTGTCAGTGAAAAACATGTAACATTTCATATGGTGTCTCACCATTTGTATCATCAGGTATGTTGTGAATGCTTATCTGTACCATAGGAATAAATAGATACCACTGTGTGGGGCAAGCAACTAGTAACTTGGTTAATAATCATTTAACCTCAGCATTTTCCCAGACCACAACCCCACTTCTTTGGGGGTGGTTGGGGCACTGAAATCCCAAAGTAACCCAAATGTGGTTGCCCAGTTTTAGGTTTCCTTTGCAGTAACTGCAGGACCACCATCCAAATGGATGGTCCTGGGATTATCAAATGCATACTAAGAAAGTGAGACTAGAAAACGTGGCATCAGAGGTTGCACTTCGCACAGGATATATCCAAGTAAACCTGGTACATGCATCAACACATACAAAAACATATTTATAACCATGAGATGTTGGCAAAACTTTCAATATATAGTAATTCAAAAAGTATGTTGGATATTAATATTTCAATAAACAGTACATCAGTAATGTGGCAATAAGCAAATGCTTATGATTACTAAACACATGAATTACAGTATTTCCCATATTGTGACCACCAATATTCCTTTTCAGGAGTCAGAAGCACATTACCTCTCTCTATAAGAGCTTGTCCTAGCCATGAAAAAGCTTTTAGGGCAAGTCCATCTTTCCTCTATAGGAAGAACAACCAACATATTACCTTCAATGGTTATTATGTAATTAACCCCTGTAAACGATAGGAGTAATTATGCGGATACCAGGTGGATAAGGTCTGGATATCCTTGCAAGCATAAACTCTGCATCATGACAGAGAGATAGGGTATGCGATGTGATCCAGTGACCACAGAAAAGCGTTGGTAGACACATTGCATCAAAGTGCCTGTTAATGACCATCTATGAGGAGAGGTACCATGCTTTGTTATAAGCATGTCCATACACATATTACAATGCCAGGCTTTCAATTTGTTTCCACAAAGCAAAATGCAGTTGTGGATATAAACTCACAACGTATCGTAAGAAAAACTGTTTGAACACCAGACTGAGACTCGAGATCAGTGAACAGTGGACCAAAATAGATAAATGAAATCCTATCAATTAATATACTTTCAATATACTTTATTCTCCGTATTAATTATGAAATATTAAAGTTAAAACAATAACATTTAAAAGCCAACTTTTAGTGTGCATAGGAATTACAAGGCTGTTCATAATGTGAGATAAAGAACAGCTTTTTAAAACCGAATAGTCTGTGAACACAAGATGACCTTGCGCTGAAAACTCACTTGCAGGGGAAAAATAAACTTCTTTTTTTTTTTTTCTTTTTTTTTTTGTAAGTTAATTAATTAAACATAGTTAGAACCTTCCTCAAAGTCCAGATTACTTTGCAAGAAACATGTCGTCCTTAAATACTGGGTAAGTCTATTAAACAGTGACATAGCATTGTTACCCTGTGTATTATGTTGTCACAGCTATAATGTGCAGTATAATAAACTATTTATAAGTGTTGTGCAAACTGTTCATTAAAAGCCAGTGGTCTAGCGAGCTATAGAACATTTATTCTTTAAATCTCTGACCTCAATCGGCAAAGCAATATTGTAATGGTGTCCATTGCAATCTGCTGTCTTACTTGCTGCTCTTAAAAATTCTGAATATGTTCAGAGATTTCTTGGGCAATAATAAATCCCCCAAAACAACAACTTTGCATTTATGCTAAACCTGCCTGTTGTAAACGTATTCTGTATATTTCTTGACATAAGTACTTGTACTTAAATCTGTTTAACAAAGCTGTTTATATTGTGGTGTAAAATAAATTTTTTATTATTATTATTTTTTTTATTTATTTTTTTATCATTGCTTAATTTTTAAAGATACCTGCATATTTAATTAAATATCCTTTATATGTCTCTAAGGCATAAAATGTCTGCAAATTAAGATTATATACAAAAATGCATGTTCTGGGTGTTCCGTGATTCCTTTTCTATCATTTATTTATTTTAAGTCTGGAATCTGATTTCTTTTGGGATGAGCACCCCTCTGAGCCCCCCAGTTTCAGAGGCTTCTTTAGAAGTGACCACTGAAAAGTATAGATTCTATAAAATAGATGTGAGGGGGCTTTGGACAGTAATGTCACTTTAATTATACTTTTCATATAGCAGATATGTGATATGCAATGTGTTTTAATATATCAGAGTATTATCACTTTAATTGACACTGCAATTTTAATGTCTGTTTAGAATATTGCAGGCTTGCAATATCAAATTAATTTTGCAGTATATATATTCACAATGCTATTACAACATATTATTAAAATTAGCCTCTTTCAGAATTGTAGAATATGTGGTGGAACTGAATCCCCATATATGAGATTTGAAACTGTATTTTTAGTTCTACGCTGTGCCCTGATCAGTATTTATATACATAATTGCAGCAGCATACAGCTTTTAAAGAAGCAATTATTTCACCCTTCATGTGTGGTTGACTGTGGACTTTTTAAAACCTACTTTTTTTTTTTTATAAATCCGTTTCTGGCTTTGAGAGAGCAGGCTGCTGAATGCATGTAAATGCTGTTATTGCCTAGTCTATATACTTTTATTTATAAACAACATTGATATATTGATATATAAACAACTTTGATATTTAATCTTATCTTATGAAAACCTAGTTTATGAAATTCACTGAGATTACATGTGTCTGACCGATTACAGTCAGTAGTACAATATCATTGTTCTAATTTCCTTACAGCTAGCACGGTGGGATAGTACCAATGATTTAAGTAAGCTTTCCCTTTTAAAATTGGTGGACTTTACTGCCATTGCAATAGACTAAAGACTGTACCTAAGTAAGCAAAGTCATTATGTGCAGGAATTGTGCACTTTAAATAGTAGAATACTTATGCTATTCTAGTGAATTGGGCTGGCTGCTTAACACATCATTTAATATCTTTTGGTCACATTTAAAGCTGTAAATGTATTTAAAATTTTATTTAAATAAGCCTTTAATAATTTCAGTTTAAAAGTTATTAGAGATCCTGTATAGTTACAATTTTATTTTGCCCTGATCTATCTTACGTATATATTATTTTTAATCATTTTATAAATATTCATTTTTTTGCAGAGCCTGTTGCCCTTTTTTCTATCAGGGTAGTATAATTTCAACTCTGTTTAGGAAAAAATATGAGCTAGCTAGCATATATTATATAAAATATGTGCTGCATTGTACTGCACTGAATTTATTTAAAAGCCATGTCTTTCTCTTTATGGCTGTATGTTGTTCATAATTTGGAATATAAAAAAAAACGACTTCTCAATTCCTTGGAATGTTTACATGTCTCTGTATCTCTGCAACCTTGGCTGGAAATTCCAGACTGAAAAAATAGTTATGCTGTTCTAATTCCTGATTTTCTATCAACAGCAAGCATAATTGACAATATGGAAATTATCACTGTTTTCTAAAACCTTTCTTATATAGTGGACATTAGAATCCAGAACGCAGTAATGCAATAATTAAAAATCCTGTCTGTCTGTTGCATGAATGTTTTCATTAAGCCATAATGCAATTTTCTTTGCATTCTTGGAATTAGACTTCAAATTTCATCGCTCTGTCTTATCACTTTTCTTTTGACAACATTTTGCATTAATCTTTTTCCTGCGCATGCATACTAAGCAGTTACAAAGTGAACATATCCCCCTGTCTGCAATCCACTGTCCTGGAACTAACGGGCCATGCTATGCTGGTGTATTAGGCATTTGTTCTATTATGATATTAGTTAAGATCCACAATTTCAGCATTGTATGCTAATTACGTTGTACCTGGCACCTGAACTTTTGAAGTGCTTTGTTCACATTAAAATCATCTCTAATGATGAAGATCTCTCTCTGAGTCTGGGCTACACATAGCTCAATAGATTCTTGATATTTCAAGACTTGTGCCATGACAAAGTACTGTGTCTTCTCTTACGTATAAGAGGTTACCTAGGTATTTATTTTATATTTAAAGCTTCCAAGTACAAAGTCCCTTCGTGGTCGCCAATTGTAACCGTGTGTGGTTCCCTTATTTACCACTATAATGTCTTAAAGCATAGAACTTAGTAGGGCTAACCATACAGATATCTTAGCCATAATTTTATATAGTGTAAGAGATCCTCTATTTAACATATATAAATAATTGAGAATACAATATAAAATAAGGATTGTCTTGGAAGCAAGATTGTCTTTTTGGATATTTATTATATAAAAATATAAAATCCCATTATAGCAGAGTTTATAAGATTAAATTACATGCTTGCAAATATCATTAATAGGTTAACATACCCTTCTGAACATGTCATCATGTCAGCCTCTCTGTCATTTTAAGATGGAGCAGCGTCTGTCTCCAAGTCTCTCCTCTGTGTCTTAACATTTAAAAGTGCACCTATTTATACCTTAGGTGTCTCCATTTTAAGGTTACTGTAGTTCAAATATGAAAAAGTAACACTTCTTTTACTTTATTCAATTTAGGACCTCCCTTAATTTGGCAAACATACAAGGCCATAACTAAAGTGTGTATACGTCATGGAAATTTTCCTGACTTAGTTCAAGATGGCATCTTAAAGTCTGAATAGGTTATCTGTTGTTTATACTAAGTCGTAAGTGTACAGTCGTGGGAGATTCCCGGATTTGGGGAAGTTCCATTAACT